TCTGCCAGGCTTCGACGCTGCAAGTGCAGCCTCTTTCGGAAGAAGGGTATTCTGGTTGATATGTTTCCGCGGTATGTCCACAAAATGTGAGCCTATAACAGAAACAGTTAAACCAGCAGGCAGCCTGCGAGCGAACAGGGTTCGAACTTTCAGACGTGGAGCAAGTCGTGGAACCTAGGGACAAGTGCCAGCTGATTGATGGTCCCTTACTCGAGTTGTTTTTTGTTGTCAGATTTTGGGATTATCAACTTTGCGAATCACGTTCAGCTTAGTTTGTGTTAGGACATACTGCGCCTGCCATCGACTTGATTTGATTGCAAAGTATACCAGCTGCGTGCACAAACCGCATTGCGCTAAACTTATGCAATGCTATAGGCTTGGGACTCCTTCTATGCAAATCGTGCTGCACTTGTTTGCCCAATGAACTAGTGTGCTAAATGCCGAAGGCTTCGCAGAAAGCTGGGCAGGTTCGCCGAGCCCAGCAAAACCACCGCCAAATAGATGTCTTGTGAAGTACAACAAAGTTGACGAGACCTGTAGTTCCCGCCGCTCGTTCACATCTCACGTCTGCTGGCTGTGGAACATCTGCGACTGTTGCTTAGAGCTAGAGTTCGGGACTCGTTGTTCCTGCTGTCCGGGTTTGCGCGATAGGACATGTTTGGCGAGTCCTCAGAAGAGAATTGCCGTTCTTTATTGGATGCAGAAGACCCCCCTTCCTTTTTGGCTGCGAGGTTTGCGCGAAGCAGTCCTGTGAGACGCAGGCTGTCCCTGGTTCATACCATGATCAGGATCTCGTGTGTCAGATTGCCCGGAGTGAAGTGCAAGCGCACGCCGCCATTCATCATGCCAAATTAATTTGTGTTGAGGCGTCATGAGCATCCCCACACAGGAGTTTGGAACATGGCACAAGATGCGCGCACGTCTTTGACATCTCATTCTAGGCCGGACTGCTCAGAATAAGCCGCGTGATCTCCAAATTGCTCCAAGGGGACGAATGTGTCACACCGAGAAGCTGATGGCACTGATGGTGGATCGCCGAGAAAAAGGTTGATGGCACTGTTTGGGTGAATGCATTGCCAAACCAGCAGATGCCCCCCCCAGACATGGACCTGCATCACCTTTGCGAGGAATTAGCTCGTGGAGTTGTTCAGAGCCGGCATTTTCGACAGCTGCACATGTTCCTGACATATCCGTCTCTTGGTTGTGGAGTCGGGCTAAAGCTGGCTCCGCAAGAGTGTTGATCCATGATTCGACTGTTGAGGTTTGAAGGCGCCCCAGCCTCCAGATGTTTCGACATTCGGCCCCCGACGAACCGCTCCTGCGTTTCACCTGAGGCCGCGCGATCAGCGGGACCCACAGGAGCAGCGGCGCAAGTGAGCCGCGGGGAGGGAGAGAGACCCTTGAGCAGCCTAGAGTTGTGGCGGAGAGTCGAGAAGTCAATTCTCCCTGCCCCAACTCAATGCCTTCTTTGACATTTTGGGTTCAGTTGTGGTTGACTTGGAGCAAGATCCAACAGAATCTCACCTTCATTTCCACATCCTTCAGGCCGAAGTCGGTCTCTTGATCTACAACTCGCGGCTTGCGTGTCGGGGGATTTTTGGTGGACGGCCGTGGCTTGAGGCAGTGGCTTCGTCCCATGGCTTGTGTGGGAGAAGGAGCTTCATCATGCTAGTGAGCTGTCTGCTTGAAACCCAAGCAAAGAAAATGAACTAGAGTTTGTGCTGGGTGTTGGAGGGTCTCTCTCTCTCACACTTTTCCTCGTCTTCTCTCTCGTTTCCTCTCTGCTCTCTCTCGTTGTGTTTTTGTCTTGTTGTCCGCCATGTTTTGTGAGCTCGGTTCTGAGGTATGACTCAGCGTCTTCCCTCTATGGCACGTCTTGCCGGCATGATCTTCGTGCGAAGGAGATCGCCGGGCGTCAGGTCCAGCATGGGTCTGATTGGAGGCTTAAACATGTTCAAAGAACTGGCTTCAGCTTTTGCTTTTGAGCAGAAGCCAGCCCGCCCACCCGCGCCCCCCACGGGCATGCGCGCAGGCAGCAGCACGCACACGCGCCGGCGCCGGAAAGGAACATGCGCTCACGCGCAGGCAGTCGCACACGCTGCACCACACAGACACAGCCGAATCATAGGCGAGCTCACCGCGTTCTCGTCTAACAATGAGGGGTTCGCATCAATAGCTGCTTTTTCACTGAAAACCGGCCCAAACACGGTGCGGTTTCGGGCTTTGGGGGTGCTATTGGAAAGGTTTTGAACCTCAAGCTTGTTGCCTTCTTGAAGTCGCCGTCTACCTCCCATGCGCTGCGCCGGAGTACGTCAGTACCTGAGCCACAATCAAACAAAAGCCCTTTTGTGGGCAGATGTGTTCTGTGCCAGGTTGACTGTGACTCCTGGCTGTTGCAGTTGGTTCCCATGAACAGAGACAAGGGTAGGCTTTTTCTCCCTGCAACCGTACCCAGCCCAGAAGTGACCAAACGCGCGTGTTTGCCAGGCCGGAACGCTTTGTGGGGGCCCTGGACCATCATCATCCATACGATATATTTCGAGTGTGGCGTTAGACACCGTTGGTGACGCAGAGGATGCGTAGTCATGATTAGCATCATGACTGCTGGCGATGCCGAGGATGCGTGGAAGGGTGGCAACAAGATCGTCATCATGATGGTCATCATCATCTCGTTTTTTTTCGACTTCAATTGTAGCTCCGATTTGAGATGCGAAAGATGCGTGGACATGCTAAGCAAAAGCCATAACGCTGATCTTCCGATTCGTCATCGATCTCGTCATCATCATCATCGTGGTCATCAGCATCTCTTTCTACACTGCACATTTCAAGTGTGGCGTTAGACACCATTGGAGATGCAGAGGATGCGTAGTCATGATTATCATCATGACTGCTCGTGATGCTGAGGATGCGTCATGATGATTATCATCCGGTTGGAGAATCACATGCTCGTCTCAAAGATTAAGTCCGGGTGATGACCAGGATGCGTCATGTGGCTGATCTTCCGATTCTTCATCAATCTCGTCATCATCATCATCACCGTAGTTATCAGCATCCCTTTTTATACTATACATTTCGAGTGTGGCGTTAAACACCATTGGTGATTCAGAGGATGCGTAGTCACGATTATCATCATGACTGCTGGTGATGCCGAGGATGCGTCATGATGACTGGAGATGCAAAGATGCACGGACATGATTTTCATGATGACTGCTGGTGATGGTCAGGATGCGTCAGCCAAATTGAAATGGATGAAATGTTAGCGGAAAATGACGGGAAAGGGATGGACGGAACACATGCGGAAAATGGAGAGAAAACTGAGGGAAAGTGGATGGACAATTCGTGGAAAATGAATGGGTGGAATGAACTGGAAACACGATAAATAAAAAGGATGCAAAATTGATGGAACATGTGTGGCAACTGGAAATTGATGGAAAACGTATTGCTGGCCCATGGACTAAGAAGGGAAATGAAGGGACATTGATGAAAAGTCAGCAGAAAATGGAGGGAGAAGGGATGGATGGAACATGTGTGGACACTTGCGAAAGGTTGATGCAAATTCGTGGAGCTGCCATGGACAATTCTTGGACATTGATGGAGAAATAGTTGAATAATCACGACCCCTTGACCCCCAAAGAGGTACCCCAGAAGGGTGTGCATGTATGTGATGTTGGGTGATGTTGGAGGCCCCTTTGCTTTGCATGGACTTGTCGAATGGCAATGACCATTTGGCTCAAGATGCCCATCAGATCAAAACCAGGGTTTGCGCTCGCCTACCGGACTGGGGTTAATAAGGGTCCCGGTTTCTGGTTCGCTGTGTTTCTTTCCCTGTTGAGTGGTTATCAGCCGTAACTGCTTTTTGGGATTGGGCCCCCTCTGGTAGTCAGCGCACTTCGTGCATGGACCCGGCTCCGGCCTTTTCGGCCAGAGGACAAAGGGGCGGGTGGGTCCATCGTCGAAAGCTTTACTACGAAGCTTTCGACGAGCACCCGTTGGGCTCGGCGCAAGTTCCAGGTTGGCGTGGCAAGAGTCCCCTGGGAGGAATCCCTCCTGGCGTGGCAGGCCGATTTCACTGAAGAGAGCTATTGGCACCTGCGGGACATCTACGCCGACCTCTACGATGCCGTCATCGCCCGGGGCCGCCACCAGCCAAGCGCCCCATCAAGTCCATCCTCCACCACAACTGTGTCCACCATCAAGGCTGCAGCTCCAAGCACAGCGCAGACACAGGCAGCAACAGGGCCGGGAGATCAGGCTGCAGCTCCAAGCGCAGCGGTTCCATCAAGAACCACAACTGAGAGCCCGTCCCGACCTTCATCCTATCCGCCTGCAACTGCGAGTAGGGGAAGGTACACTGCTGCGGGGAGGTCCTCATCGAGGAAGAGGACACCGCCGGCAAGGCGACAGCCTTCCCTTGCACCGGTGCGGAAGGCGTCGACCAGACGCCCGAGATCCAGAACTCCCCTCAGGGCTGCAGCTCCAAGCGGGGTCGGGGACCAGGAGCTCCAGCTCTTCAACACCTCCGGCCCGTGCATCCCTGAGCGGCCGGCCGCTGTGGACAGCACAGGGATCTGGATCCTCCAGCACCGACACGAGGGTGCCGCACGACCCGCGCGTCGGCCGACGCACCCGGCACCCTCAGACGAGCCGTACGACCTCCCAGACTCGTATTGGCATCATCCGCCGAGGGCAGAGTCCTCTTCCAATCCTCCGGAGGGCCGAGCACTACAACCTGAGCGATCGCCACCTCCAGAAAGCTGTGTACTCAGGTCGTGCGGCCTTTAACCCGGACAGGGTGTACGAGGCTGAGCAGGTCAGCATCAAGCGGCCTGCACCTGCCGGGCGCGACTCATCCACAGCACCCGCAACAAAGACCGCTCGGATTGTCTTTGCCAAGCGGGGAAGCCAGGTCAAGGCGCCGCCACAAAGCGTAATTACTCGACCAGGCAGCTGCGGATCGCGCTGCGTCGACCAAAATCGATTAGTGGGGTGAGACGGCCACCGCCCAAAGCATACAAGCGGGCGCCACCCTCACCTGCGCCACGGGTGAGGTACAAGTCGCCACCGGCTCCCAAGTTGCCGGTCAAGCAGCCACCCGCTGCAGCTGCCAAGGGCCCCGTCCCTGCCGGGACGCAATTCGGTGCGCCTCAGCAAGAAAAAAACCCGCGGGTCATCGCCCTCGACTGGCACAACACCCTCGACATTTCCGTCGAGCCTGACGGTGCGCCCAAGGATTGGCTTTTGCGAACAGTATCCAAACTGTGTCGCAGCCACTATCCCATCCAGTTCCGCATCGTCAGCTACTGCCAGGCCCGGGACACCCGGGAAAGCACCCTCCGACTTGCCACCCAGTTTCCCGAGGTGTGCAACAACGCCATTGACGCCGACCTGGAAACGAGTCGGACCATCTGGCAAGGCTGCAGCTTTAGCGCAGCTTGGGGCGTGCGCCATCGTGGACGACAGAAACTCCGTCCTCAAGGAGTGCCGCACCGCAGGCGCCCTCGGCGTAGGTGTCGATCGGCGAGACGCCAACCGAGCGCTCTACGACGCGCTGGACGAGCTCCACGAGTACCTCGCCCAGCACCGACGCCTTCTCCGCCCTGCCAGGGTGCTCGAGCAAAACGAGTGTCTCGAGGAGGTTGGCCGCCGCCCGCAATCTGCAAGGGGCGGCCGAGGACTTTTTCGTTGACCTGGCGCTGCAGGAGGCTGCAGCTCAAGCGCAGCAAGTGCACCGGTTTCCAACACCGGTTGTAACAGAAGTTTTCCAAGGCCGCAGCTTGAAGCGCGGTGTGTCAGCATACGTGAGCCTTCAGGGATTTCCCCACCTTCGGATGATAGGTCAAGGTCAACCCTGGGGGGGAATCTAATGAGGATGACCCTGAACTAGGTGATATTTCGGTACCCGCAATGTCCGTAGTTCCTGTAGGATCCAGGGCATCCTCATCAAGAGATAATCGCACCAAAATCCTTCGCTCCCCCACAGCCCGACATCAAGTCAGACGCCAAGCGTGTGCAAATCCAGGATGGTGATCCACGTGCACAACCACAAGGACCACCGGACGTCGCTCGGACTCAGGATGTAAGGGGACCTGTAGACGTACAGGCACAAATGTCCTCTTTAACTGAGCTGGTCCATCAACTTTCAAAGTTAGTTGAGGCCCAGGTAGGGGTATCAGGGGCTTCGCCCCCGATCGCATCGGCTCCGGCACCCCCACCTTCCGTAGCTGCCCAGCACACAACTGCTATCCCCACGCTTAGGCTAACAAGTGCAAGTACAAGTCAAGTGGCTCATTTTCCATCCTCCCGACTCGCACCTCCTCAGAGTCCGGTGACGAGGGTAACACTCCCTCATGCCGAGTCTGTGGTGGCCCGCGGGCAAGGTACTCAAGCAGCAGATGCGAGTGGTGGGGATGCTGCTACAAGCGCATCAGATCCGGCCTCACATGAGGAAACCGTGGTTCGCATAAAGGACCTTAAGGATTTAGTGCTTCCGCTTCCGCCAGAGAACGCCGGTCAGGCGCGTGGATATGTGAATCAAGTCCTCATGGCCATTGGACGTCTACAAAAGACGACCGGTGACGAGCTCTATCTCTGGGCTCAGGATTGCCTGACCTCATCCGAGGAACAACTCAGGGACGCACAACCCGCGAGATAGCCGCCAAGCTGTTGAAGACCTGTCGCAAAGGCAAGTTTGGGTTGTTGTTCCAAAACATGGTGGAGCACGAACGGAACACCGCAGGTACAATGCCCAATGGGCGCGTGATGTTGCGTTCGATCTTCAAGCACTTTCAACTGGAGCGCGATCGGATCGGCATCCTTGGAGAACGCAATCTTCTAGGTTTGAAACTTGCCGGCCAGTCAGTAGCAGACATAGAGGCTTTCCGTGAGAAGTACAACTATATTCTCCGTCTTGATGAGCCCCCCAAGGAAAGAACTCTTTTCATCATTGACGAGTTTGAGAAGTGCCAAGTAATGAAGCATCGCGTTGAGAAGGCCCGTGAGTCCGCCCATGATAGTCACCGCCGCACCTGTGCATGGCTTTGGGACCTGGCCATTGAGCTTGCCCAGCAAAAGCGCAACCGTGACGATTTTGATCAGGATGTCAAACTCAAACCGGCTGTTCGTGGCACGGGCAAGGAAGCAGCTACCAGCGCTTTGCCAGCAGAGACTAAGAAGGAGAAGAAGAAGAACAAGAAAGGCGTAGGGCCAAGTCCTGCGCCTTCCTCCACTCACCGACCGAGAAGTACACTGGGCCGCCTCCACGGGCCCTCAGTAAGGCACAATCTCCGGCCGCTGTTGCCGCCGTAGTCCCAGCAGTCCCAAGTCCCCGCCAGACAGTTTCTCGATTCTGACGGGGCAGCGGAGTGGGATGGTGGAAGGGGCGTGTGTTGTGGTTAGGACTTCACCCAAATAAGAAGTCGGGAGAGAGATCAACAGGGAACAACACACGTGACTACTCAAAAAGGAACAATAGCATTAGCTGGCTTTGGGACACCGCTGCAG